AATTATTTTTACTAAAAACTGAAAGCAGTACTAAAAATATTTTCAGATTCTGAACACTTACGATTTTTCTTAATTTTTGGTAAATAAGGAACAAATTATTTTTGTTATAAAAATTAGCTACAAAATACAATTTAGACTATAGCCAGTATAACTTGAGCTGAAATATTCATATTAAATAAATAATTGACGAGGTTTGTATAATAAAAATCTTTACTATATGAGTATTCCACTAACTGCGGCAATTCAGTTCTAAAACTACTTTTGTACTAAAAGAGATTAGGAATATTTCCAATAAATACTAGTACTGTTAAGTATGTACTAAAATAGTTAGACAGATTAAAAAATTAAAAAAATTTACTTTATATAAAAATTTGGTTTCAAAATTTATTGATTTAGTACTAAAATATCAAAAATATATTTTAATGTTATTGACAAAGGAATGACAGCATATTCGAGAACAATTTTTTATAACAATAAAGGAATTATACGAAAGCATAAACAATTTATGGTGCTATAGACTACTACAGCCAAATTAAATTGATAACCGTTCTGTAGTTTGTCGAACAGGTAGACGTTTCTTAAAGCAAATGCCTTTTTTTAGTACATCTCATTTATTTAAATATTTAAAGTTTTAGTACTATGACCTTTTAGTACGATGCAGTATTCATAATCATATTTTTAGTACATCTCGTTTTATGCTTTCGAAAATATATATTTCTTAACTTATCTAAGCAATCCTCATACAAAATATATTTAAAGCTTTAGTACTAAAATTTTTCAGTACAAAAAATATACACTTTTCATTTTATAGCCTCTGGAATTGCCATTTAAAATAAAATACTCATTTCTAAAATATTAATTTTTTTAGTACATTTTTAGTACAAACGTTTTTTTCAAAACCGTTTAGCTTTTCGGGCCATTCCAAAATTAGTGCTTCAGTAATTATCGTTTTCAAATTGTTTTTCTTAGTAGTTGTTAGTTTTGCTTTTTTACTCGAAATGGTACTAAATTTACAAAAAATGTGCTAAAATATTATATCCTCACTAAGCTTAAATTTGAGTCTGATACACTTAAATTATGGTGAGAAGACATATCCTAAGAGCAATAAATCATGATTTGTACGTAGTTTATAGATTTTTAGTAGTACGTGATCTCCCCGCCACTTTTTACCAGAATTTTTACAGTTATAAATAATTTTGTTAGCAGCAAATGATCTGCAATCGGCTCCTTCACCTCCTTGCCAGCTTCTGCTATGGGGTAATCGAGAGCCTTGATGAATCTTAATCTTTCAGCTATTAGATGGTCCGGCTGGGAAGGTGTAGCCAGCATCCAAAAACTTGATGGGATAAGATATTTTTCTTGTCAACCGTTACCAGTCTGGCTCCGGGGTAAGGCTCCCAACCTTTGTTATTACGTCCTTATATAGCTCTACCGATAACTCGTCATGACATGCTATCATTTTGGCCTGGCCTTGGTACGATTCGACATCCGTCGACCTGGGTTGCTTAATGATACTTCCAGAGCCACATTTATCAAAGAAATTTGCATCAATTTCGGTTAGGATATGGGGATTTTCCCTTTGGGATCATCCTCATTACATCAGCAAAAGATTATGCGGATATCACACCTTTTGTCTTCGATATTTTGGCTAACGATTTAACCCCTTCATTTGACCTTACTCAAGGAATGGATTTATGGAGCTTATTTGTGAGTTCCTCATTGGTTACCGGTTGCAGCTACACTCTTTCTAGCTCCTGCAGCTATACCAAGCTTCGCTTTTGTGTTTGCGCTGACTATTTTCGAGCTCGTTATTGTACTGCATCATATTTTGGACCCACGATTATAGGGGAGAATATACCCACTTGCGCACACATCCTCCCCACCCACGTAAAGCTATCTTGTTAAAGAGGCCGCAAAGTATCTGTAAGCTCCGTTCGGAACTGAGCTTTTTAATTGTCCCCAGCCAAGTTGATTCTCAGCACGGATCACATGATACCTTGATCCAATCCTTTCTATACCCCCAACCAAAGTCAGATTACTCATCTACCATAAATGCTGTGTTATTTAGGAGCAACGAAGGCCCAGGTATAAGGTCAGTCCTTCTCTACATTTCAATTTAGTACCTCACAGCTTCAAAAGAGGCGAACTGTTACTAGCCCGTCTCTGTCCTCGTCGTGATACTGTGATATTATTAAAAATATTTTGAAAACTTTAAGTGGGACCCAGCAGAGTAGCATAAACCCAAAAGTTATTTCTGGACAAAAATTTAGCATAATTTATGAAATGAAAAGTTTTGTACTAAAAATGTAAACTGTACTAAAGAATTGTAATTTTTTATGATTCATTAAATAAATATTGGCATATTCCAACCTTGCCACAAACTTAAGCAAACCATATACAAATAACTCCCTTCATTCCTTAAACTGATAAAAACTAAACATATTTCAACTTAATTTTTTTTTTGCTTGCAGGTTGTAAATTCGCGTCGCGAAACGGATGCTGGCGTCTACTGGTGTGAGGCGAAAAACGAGTTGGGTGTGGCGAGAAGTCGAAATGCGACGCTGCAAGTTGCCGGTGAGTGCGCAAAAAGCTTCATACTTATATGCAAATAAATCTAATATACACACACGCACATACACTTACAACTCGATATCCATAACCATCAAATAATAAATAAGCGTGTGTGCGTCGTACATTTTATGGCGCGCCAAAGTGCAAATACTTAAATGCATATGGCGCTACTTATAGCCGCGCTACGACATGATAGGGTTAAAGGATATTATAAGAAAAAAGAAACTGAAATAAAATTTGCAAATAAAATTAGAGACAAGCAGCGCTCAACTGGAGTCAATCGAGGCTGCCCCTGGAGACTTGAGGCGCGCGGGGGCACTCTTTCTGACTACGAGTGTTTATTTCTGATTATGTGTGTGTGATATTTCTGAGTATGCGTGTCAATGTTTAAAGTATGTGTAACACTTAAGAGTGTGTGTGTGTGTCCGTGCAGAGTGTGTGTGTGTGTGTGTGTGTGTATGATTTGAGAGTGTGCGTGTGATACTTGCGAGTGTGTGCTGCTCACATACGTCCTTTGCGCGTTTCACCATTCGCCTTGTCACCCAAGCGCTCTGCCGCTGCTCCTTCACTGCCAACCTTGCCGCACCCACACGCACATATGTTCTTATGTTGCATGCGTCTTCTTTCAGCTAAAATAACACGCATTTCTACAACAAACTTGCACATTTAAATTTCGTTTTCTGCTATGCTCTACTCTGCTCTACTCTGCTCTAACTCAAGTTATGCGAAATTTATGCAAACATGCTTGGTTGACTGAAGAAATTTCCTTGCACGCGTGAGCGGCTGCGCAGCCACTTTGTGCCACAACCACAACACTGTGTCGGCGCTACCTCTTCGACCGTTATATTTAACCAGTTTTACACATGAGCGGTCGCATATGCGAGTGCAAAGATACACAAGCCGTGAAATGATACTGCCGCGCAAGTTTGTTGTCGCCTCTCCTCACCGTAAAATTTTATATATATTCTTTGTTGCCACACATTTTTCATGCCACTACCTTAGTGAATAGCTGCTGTAGCTAATTTCTGTCAATATTCTTTACTACCTTTACATTTTGCTATATTTTTGCCCGTCTTCATGCTGTAAGTCCTTTAACGGCATGCAGCGCTTGTGTGTGTGTAAGCGTGCGTGCAACATTTTTCAATTTCTTATTTTTGCTTTCAAATCGCTTGGGGTGTATTTTTCAATATTTGCATGGAAATCACGCAAAGCACGTCGATGCTGGTTTGTCAATTCCATGAATCGAGTGAGGTTGGCATCAACGCTGCCAGCAACTGTAATACATTGAAGCACCTAAACCGTTAGCAGGTATTTGCAGGCAACTGTGCTGATGTATGTGTGTGTGTGTACGTAAAAATTTTGCGCCACTCTGCTGCTGCTGTGCACACGCTGCTGGAATTATTAAATTTTTTCACTCCTTTCGCTTATTTGTGCGGGCGCCCTTTTACCCAGCGCCAATCTTCGTGACTTCGAATCAAATCTTTCCACCTTCTCCCTGCAACTTTATGTCTCCTCATTTGCACTTTTATTTATTTGTGGTTTGCTGCTTCCACATTTTCTTGCTGCGCTGCTCTCTTTCACCCTAGAAAGGTTAATTCAAGTTGCGCATCATTGTTGCACGTACTTTGTTGCGGTAGCTGACGCTGGCACCTACTTTACATCCACTCAAGCAACGAAACAAGACTTGCATATTTTATAGGTGCACATATTTTATTAGTGTATCGTTTTTTTGCCACTTACTCACTTCTAACTTGTGCTGGGCGTAGGTGGTAGCTGGCCGTGTCCACTTCTAGTTGCCGTAGTCTACCTCAGCTACAGTTGCTTTCAGTTACGTGTGCACTTGTATGTGCGCGTGTAACTTTACTGCTACATTGTCATGCAGCTCACTGCTCGTTATTGCTGCTGCCATGCCACGTAACTGGAAGTCAACTTAAATCGAAAAAAGTATTAAAAAAGATTCCTTTGCTACTTTTGCCGGTGAAATGCTTATGTAAATGGCAGAGATTGTCGTGTTATATTTACATAGTAACATACTTTGTGCCGCGAGTGTGCAAACTGGGTTAAATTAATGCCATAAAAATGAAAAGTTTCTTGTAGCAGGTACTTAATTGGCTGCATTAAACATGCAACAAATGAACTTTATTGTTGCAACACTGGATTTTCATTCGAAAAATATCTTCAGCCATAAGGACGATTTGGACATTCCGTAAGGACGATTTGGACTTTGCAGCAGTTTTACGATGATTCAAAATTTTTTAGCATATTCAAACATTGAACCAAATCGTTTCATATCCCAAAATGTAATATCTGGAATTTATTACTTAATATCGAGACCTTCTTAGTGTCAATTGAAATTAGGTTCAATGGCTGATCACACGTGGACGTGTAGACCTTTTTAAAGCCATAGAAAAGAAGAACTCCTGTTTTCGAACTTATAAATTCGCAAAACGCTTAGTAGCCCATAAAAAACTTAACAGGCGTTTAATTTCCACTCCCGCCAGTTCGGTGAGATATCTGAATGAATGCGCACTCAAGTGTTCAAGTCTTGACCTCTCCAACGCGGGATAGTCAAGAAGGAAGTGCTGAGTTGTTTTCACCTCATCTTCTTTCATATAGATTCAAGTTTACAGCACGAGGCGCCAATATGGCAATGGCCTGTTAAAAGCTCACAAATAGGGAGAGGCTAGTCTGACTGAAGGCAAAGACATCACTAGATCTCCTGCGATTGATCTTAAACCAAAAAGCTTTTGCGACGGCGCATATAAGGCTAATAGTCCAGCGCTAGAAAAGCTTCCGTGGAGCCCGCCTATCTAGTAGTTGATTCTAAGAGGATTAACTTGGATAGTTTAATGCAAACTATCAACATCTCCGTTTTAGCGTAAGGTAGTGTTACTTCGGAATAGTTCAAGCCAAAGTCGATGCTTAAACCATGACATAGTTAAGTTTCTCTTCTCTAAAAAGCTTTGATAATAGCATTCAGTTGTAATACTTTTTATTTCTTAAAGCATACCTTTCAAATATTCATGCTTATATGAAACCTCCTTGTTAATGAAGATGTATATCACAACGGGAGAGCCTTCATTTTATTACTTATATATAATATAATAGCGTGGTTTCGGTTGAATTTGGTCAGAAATATACTAAAATATATAAAGAGGTGAATGTCGACTATCAACCGCAAGCAAATGAGGTGACAGGCGCCAATCTATGTATATTTTCGATTACTATAAAAACTTGTTAATACATAACATTTTAAAAATCCGTCATTATTTTCTATTTCCTTATGTTTCGTTTTGCGATTTATGTCACAATACTTTAAACAGTGCTTTCCAAAAATGTGAACACTGAGTTACTTTCTTCGTTTTTTTCAGTAGGGTTATTATGTAGGGCTTCAATATTCCTCCACAAAGAAAATCCTGATATAGTACAAAATTCAAGCATGCCGGCAACTGTAAGCTAAAAGCCCGATATCCCTTCCCTTCTCAGTTTATTGGCACACTCTTTTCGATAAACGTATGTATTCACAGATGATCGGGACAGAACTAAGCGATATTCAAATCGGTTTGGCTGCAGACCCTGACATTGAAAACCAGTTTTTTAAAAAAAAAACTACAGCTTATTTTTATATCCTTCAGTTTTTCCTTTCTTCGTCGTCAAAGTGAGAGGGCATCGAGACGTAATAATTTGCTATGTTTTGGCCAATTTCGTGGCCCCATTAGACTGTGGCTGTAGTCGTTGAATAAAAAAGCTGAGCTCAGCCCAATACTTTATAGAGTAGTTATAGAGTTGATCGCAATTCATGTCATATTTGTAAAGTTGATGCAAATTGTTTATACTTTATACCATAAAGAGGCTACACTAAGTTCGTCACGAAGTAGGGAAGCGTCATGAGTCCTCCAAATTATATATATATAAATGAATAGCGTGATGAGTTGATTTAACCTGACCGTCTGTCTTTCTGATAATTAATTGATGTTTCAAAAAAAATTATTTTGCAGAGTTGGTAGTACTGTCTATATACTAACCAGTACCAGTTTTTGAGATATCGATCCGAAATTTTATACACGGTTTTCCCTTTCCAAGAAGCTGCTTATTTGTTAGAATAACCACTATAGCACACAACTAACATACAAACTGAACAATCGGAATTCAGTACTTGTATGGAAACCTTTTTTATTTGACAAGAAATCTTCAAAAAATTTGGTACGGATTATTTTCTAAGCCTTTTTTTTTTTTTTTTTTTTTTTTTTTTTTTTTTTTTTTTTTTTTTTTTTTTTTTTTTTTTTTTTTTTTTTTTTTTTTTTTTTTTTTNTTTTTTTTTTTTTTTGTCACCGAAGATGTCGTTCAGATCGTGTCACTATAGCAATGCGTGAAGCATGTGAAGAGTATCAACGAATCATTGACTTTATTGCGAAATGCCGAGGCTATAGGCTATGATGAAGATGACGAATGTAAGCTGATCAGTTACTTTGGAAATTATCGTTTTCCCTTCTATTCAAAGCTTTCGTAGAAAAGCGGTTACTCAGTTCTATTATAACGAAATCAGATTTCTTAAATTAAAAATGTAGAGTCGCATATTTTAAGTGATGCTCTTACAAAAGCAATTGATCTGGTGAATAAAAATATTAATTGCCTTTTAGAATGTAATGTACCGTTACTAATATGACACCTCTTTATATGCCAAAAGGCATTCAAGCCATACAATAAATAATCTGCAAAAAAAGAAATTTTTGGAAGACTTCTCTATCTGAAGGCATACTTTTTAAAGAATATTGTATCTTGAGCTTTAGACATTTCCGTCGCCCAATATATATTTTGCTCAAATCGAAATTTCCTAGACTCCTTACTCCTATCCTTAAGAACAATGTTCATCAACATGAGCTCACTCTCCTTCTCAAAAACTTGACTTTGGCTTGTCTAAAATCTAGTTGTAGGAACTGTAGCATTCGGTAGTAAACGTGAGTTACATATATTAGAATTTGAATATATTTCTTAACGAAAAA